GAGGATGGAAATCGAGGTTAATAGTCAAGTAGTCATCGGATACCAGTGGCCGCGGAAGGGTGAGGGGACAGAGGGGCAATGTCCCCACGGTTGTTTGATGTCGGCATCATCTACCCATGTTATTCAAACGTCTCCCTATCTTTCAATGTTAATGGCCCCAGATGTCCCCACGGCTTCCGCGGCCATTGGTTTTAATAATTTCATAAATCTACGGTTTTCATCCGTGGCCGCGGAAGCATGGGGACAATGTGCCCACGGTTGTTCGATGTCTGCATCATGTCGTATAAACCCGTCCCTCCCATATCTTTCAATGTTAATGGCTCCCCGATGCCCGATGCCCCCACCCACGGCTTCCGCGGCCACTGTTCCGCAGCTAGTTACATGCTCACCTACTTCCTTTCCTACAAACTGACGTAACATTATCACTTGATAAATTATTCATGGCTTGTTAACATAGCTTGTAGATTAACCAGGTGCGTGGATGGCAGGGAGAAAATTTTAGTTATTACGCGATAAAAAAATCATGGACAAAGTTGTAATGGAAATTTATTTATGGAGATAAATGAGAGCGATATTTTAGGACTTAAGGCAGATATGTACTTACGAAAAAAATACCAAAATATGTATGTACAACCATAATTTTTGCAAAATTTGTATTATTGAAATTAATGATCCGGATTGTTTTTTGCTATTCAATTTCTTTGAGAAAAATTTCTTACCGCATCGTTGAAATATTTACAAACTATATGTATTTTTGAAAAAATATGTAAAAGATTTACACAATTTTCAAATAATAACGGAAATATTTATATAAATTGGTTGTGTTTCCGAAAACCTTGATTTTTTTTAAATTTGGCATAAACTTAGTTTTAAAAGAGGATGGGATACTTAATTAAGACCTACTAAATTGCAGTGCTATGGATAAACTCTGACTCGGGCTTTCTTAAAATCCCACACCGCGTAGGTTTTACAAATTAAATCTGAATCTCATAAATACTCAACTTAACAACTTTTTTTCGTAATGAAAACGCGTATGAAAATCTTGTACATATCTTTCACAGTTTTTAACAGAATGCAAAAGTAAAGGAATGAATGAATACCAAGATTTAAAATAAGATAGGTTTTAAATTCAGAAATGTAAATATAAAAAAACATCCATTTTTATCCCGGCTCAAGATCGAGAGAAGAGAAAGTCTTAAACTGATCGGCGTTTTATTTACTCGTCTTTTCTTAGTTTTCTTTGGGACGTGGATCAGTAGCCGCGGAAGCTGTGGGGACATGTGGGGCCACTCTTAGAAATGGGGTTACGATTATAACCAAAAAGTAAACGTATTTGACTCTACTGCCGTGGTTATGAATTTGTCACCAGCTGGTTATAAATTTATTAGCTCGGGCGACAATTTAATACCAAATCGGTGAAAATTGTAACCACTTGATGACAAATTTATAACCACGGCGGTAGAGTCACATATGTTTACTTTTTGGTTATAATCGTAACCCCATTTCTAAGAGTGTAGGATAAGAGAGGATTGGGATTACATACCTTGGGCGGATGATACAGACATCGTTAAACTGTGGGACATTGCCCCTCTGTCCCCACCCACCCTTCCGCGGCCACTGACGTCCGTCCATGATTTTCATGTTCCGAAATAAATTAAGGGCTGGAATTTGTGCCGACATTGTGATTCAAAGTGAGGGAATTTTATTGAAAGGAAATTGCACCGTCGTGTCTTTCGGATTTTGAGGGTTTAGCCGACTACGTACGTGCCTACCAACTTGAGAGACTCTGAACAAGAGCGAATTAAGAGGAGGTGACGTAACGGGAGAAAAATTGAATGCACTAATTGACACAGAAGAGAACAGATTCAGAATGAAAAACAAAACGACGCAAATTTTTCAACGTCATGAAATAAATTAAATTAAATAACGTAGGAGGGGAAGATTCATATCCAAAATCCTGAAAATCTGCACATTTTTAAGCATTTTTTGGCTCCGGGAATTTATTTTAAAATTTCTGCCCGACAAGTTTGTAGAGCAGGTCGTTGCCAATTTTTTAAATATATATACTCCAGATTCTGACCCTTTTTGAAGGAGGAGATCTCAAGTTTAAGAACCCTTCAGAAAAATTGGAACTCGTCGAAACTGGCTCAAAAAACTCAACGCCATTCCATCAATCAAATCACTGATCACAAAATTTCCAAAATTTTAAAATAAATTCCCAGAGCGGAGAAATGATTTAAAATGTTGTGATTTTTTCGATTTTGTCGATGCATCATGGTTCTACGTTAATGAGGCTTGTTTTTCGAAAAGGGCGAGAAAATTAATTTATGAAACTAAATTTACCAGAAATCTGACCTAAACATAATCGATAAATTTGGGATTATTGGTTGCTCTGAACTGAAAATGATGCCGTCCATTCCCTAGTTTGATGAGAAAATGGTCCGAAATTATTTGGGAAAGGGCACAATTAAAAGGCTTGCGAGAACGGATTACATTTCCATTGTGGCATTTAGACTGGAGAAATGAGACAAAATGTGGTAGGAGAGTGAGTTGGATGAAATCGTTTCCCTTCCCCAGCTTAATTCCAGTTGAACCCACTAATCACCAAAATTCAGTGATTTGCATGAGTGTGGCAAACGGATAAGGAGGACGAGAAATTGCTCGCTATACAAGGAATCCATCCATATCTCAGGGCTTTCTTCTTGCCGGGGATTGTGGCATTTTCGGGGGTATTTGTATCGTACAAGGAACAATAGAGATGAGGATGCAGGGAAATTATGTGCAGTATATTATAAGACGTGGGGGGCAATAATAGAGGGCAATTTGTGGGACTGGTTAACGTGGTTCGGAAATTAAAAAGTTATTTTTTTTAGAATAATACACCCCTGCGTGCAAATATTCCATCAGAATCGAGGGTATAAACTACAGAAATAATGTTTCGGGTGCAAGTAACCACTTGCAAGAAATAATGGAAATAAAGTGTTCTTTTTTTTGCACGTATACATTTTGACCTGCAAAAAATGCAAAGTGCAAGAAACCAATTCCTACCGCTGTAAATACTTCATACGGCACGTGGCTAGATGGCGCACATTTCTTGCTGTTCAGTGAAACAAATGTATAGCAAATCCGCAAGAAACTAAGCACTGGACTAAGAAACTAAGCACATTTAAAGTGTGCGAGAGCCACGTGGGAGGTTAGGTTCGTTTCCGAATTTTTGTTGAGGTCACGAGTGCAATGTGGATAAAAATGCAGAAATTGCAAGATTTCATGGGTCCCATTGGAGTCATGTGACTTATTAAAAATCTACGGCTTCTATATATCTATCCCCAAAATAGGTATCAACTACCCCAAACTCTCCCCGTTATGGAGACACTGGTTAAATTATTAAGTAGCGTCCTCTCCCCAATCCGTGGGCGGCCGCGGCGGATTGGTTGGCATTCTTGGCATTTGTACATACAACTCCTTGCACTAAATGAAATCAATGCGTCGCAGCAGATAGAAATACGGGACATTTATTTTTACAGGAAAAAGCACGTTCGGATTCATTCAAATGGAATAATTTAGTGAGTGTTGTTTTATGTAAGTCTTCTTCCTCCTCTCTCTTGTCTTTGTCGTCCAGCGTGGCGTGCATATTTAGCTCAGAAAAGACAGAAATTGACCAAAAAGGACGACACAAAAGGGCACAGGAACGATACAGTTTCGTTCCAGCAAATATTTAATACATGATTTTTTTTATTGCAAACAAACTCCAATCGAACCTTTGTCCGAACTTGTTTGCATTTCGCCCACCATGAAAAAATAACAGATTTTATTCCTTGCAAACAAACGAATCTTTGTCCGCATTTGCATTTCGTGGACATTCAGTGACCGCGGAAGGATGCGGACAGAGGGACAATGTCCTCACGGTCCCTACACTCAAAATAAGGTAGTAATGAATCATTACCATGCGGAATGACTATGTGTCTCTACCACGTCGGTTACGATTTGTCGTAGAAATGGTAACAATAATTTCAGGGAAATTCAAATTCATTACCAAATATTAAGGAAGTGAATACCATTATGTATTAAATTCGAATTTCCCTGAACTTATTATTACCATTTCTACGACAAATCGTAACCGACATGGTAGAGACACATAGTCATTCCGCATGGTAATGATTCATTACTACCTTATTTTGAGTGTATCATCTGCATGCCTATGTCATGCAAATCCTTCCCTCTCCTGTCCCAAAATGTTAATGTCCCCCGCTTCCGCGGCCACTGGTCGAAAATGAAGAGAAAAGGTTTCCTTTATACGATGGCAATGTCCTTATTTGTGAGTAATAAAGTTTCAAGTGTTGTGCAAATCTTGGTGCCAGATTGGATTCATTGTGACAATAATTTAGAGATACAAGAGTTTGCGATGTTAAAGTTCAAGTGGAGAAACAACACTTTTGTGCTAATTTGTTCTGGAAATCTTGATCTGTCTTGAGCCTGATCAAATAGATAAGAAAAGGACAATTCTGTGAGAATGAATCCTAATTAATTTTGTGACCGATTGAGACTAATTTGCTAAAAATCTGGGAGCATCCGTTAGGAAACTTCTCTTATCAATTTAATTTTTTTTACCAATTTTAATCAACTCTGAAGGAAAAGGGTATGATTTTTTCTCCATTTTGTTTGCATCCGAAAGGGAAAAACGATCCCTAAAGTTGACAAATCGTACATACACTTTCCAAATTTACTGCGCCTTTTCGCCTCTTCGGATGCAAATATCTCAAAATTTTATACTAATTAAATTTGCGATCAATTTCCACTAATTTGTTTAAAATCAGATCGCATCCGCTGGGAGACCTCCATTCTTAGCTGGATACTTTTCGTGTATATTTACCCTAGAAGATGTGTCTATCTATTAATGCAAGATGAGATGAGACCACAAGTAGCGAGCATGATGATGAAACTGACGGGGAAAGTGAAGATGGGAAAAGTGAGACATGTCATAATTTGAGAAAGTTCTCTACCTGTAGCTCGACGAGTCCCCCTCCTCCATAATTCTGCTGTTGAGGGTGGTGCTGCTCCTGGTGGTGGATCTGCTGTGGGGCGGACGCGGACCTCGTCTTAATCCGGTGGCAGAACGAGAGCACAAATTGTGTTTGGAAATAGACCAAGATACAAATCCCTAATTTTATACTCGGCTCCCCAAACATTTTCATCTTTGATACTGAAGCAGAAGGGGTAATTTGATACACGAAAGTTTCGAAAGTTTCCGAAGTTTTTTTGACACTGTTTTTTTATCAAGTTTCTGGATTGGATTCGATTTCGATTTCTGTCACGATTTCTCAATTGAATAATAATTTTATTTGGTGAAAGTTTCCTGTTTTCTTGAGAGAGTGGAAATTTATTTTGTAGCGAAGATCAAGTGGGCGTTCTTTTATTTATCGCGTTTTTTTCCTTCGGGAATTGTTTCGGGAGCTAATCAAATTTGATTTATTTTTGTCAGCGATAGTTTATTTTTATTGTTTGGGTTTCTCGATTTTGTGAAAATGTGTGTTGGCTGGAGAAATGTGGGGCTCGTTTTGAGACTGAGACGAAGCGAGGCTTGCTTTCTCTCTTGGCTGGAAACGTGGTAGGAGCGTTGTTGAGATGAGACTGAGGCAGGAGTGGGCGATTCGGGGCTGATTTATGGAAAAGGAGAGAGAAGCAACGGGTGGTGTAGAAGTGAAGGCAATATGAACATGCATAAACGGAGTGTGGGTGACGATGCCCGTTTTTTTACTTTCGGGGATTTGTATGTTAGAGAAAGGGAAAGTTAGTGCTGGAAAGGATGTGTGGTGAAAATTAGTTGGTATTTTAGGAATTAGTGTGGAAATTGTACAAATTTTTGTGGGTAGAATCACGCAGAGAGACAGTTTTTGAGTGGAATGCCCGATCGGTGTGGATGATGATGCCCGTTTTTTTCTTCTCGACGTTTTTTGTGTATACGGCGGAAAGGGAAAGTTAATGTTGGAAATTATATATGGTGAAAATTTCATAGTTTGTATTTGTTTATTGATACAAATTAGTACATGGAAATTATAAACTTGGATTGATTTTGATGAGCAGAGAAAGTTTTTGGATCCATCCATCGAGTAGAATGACATACCGCCATCGGGGAAAATAAATAGGTGCGAATGACGATACCCATTTTTTTCGTCTCGTTTCATCGTACGATAAAAAGTTGAAAATTATGATGGAAATTATTTATTAATAGAAAGTAGTACTTATATGCAAATTATAAAGTTGTATTAATTTTTGGGGGTTAGAATTACCTAGAGAAAGTTTTAGAGAGACACGTACATATCAATTGAGTGACATAATGCCCCACCGGAGAAAGTAGTGTATGCGGCTGACATTCATTACTGGTTGGTTGGTGATTTCACCGATAAGCCCGTTTTTTCGGACGATTTAGTTGAAAATCAGCATGAAAATTATCGTACTTACGTATTAATAGAAATTGGTACGTACATACGTATGCAAATTATAAAAGTTGTATTAATTTTATTAGCCAGAGAAAGTTGTAGGGAGACAAGTCTGCCTCAATTGAATGACACAGCGCCCCAAGAGTACCACATATGCAGCTGACATTCATTGCTAGCTGGTGATTTCAGCGATGATTGCACTTTTTCCAATTCAAGGTCTGTAGAGGAGAAATGAGATATAAAATAAAATAAAATCGTAGATATCCTTGCTCCCGTCTGTTTCTGATATTTTTCTGCTGGCTTCGTTCCTCGCGAGATTATGATGACGATGCAGATACTGGACTGGAAGTGACAGCAGAAGGCAACGTGTCAGTAGCACGGCGTCAAATGAACTCATCATGTCATATGGCCGTCGACTGAGCGGAGTGAAACCGGGTGTATCTCTTAAATATGTTATGCAATATGGTGACGTGACTTGACTGGAATATGCTAAATAAGGATATGCATGATTTCTTATGAAGTGAGTCGGTCCTGCTGAGCTGTAAATGTCCACTTGAACTGACCAAAAGACGATGTAAAGTTGTGAAGGGTCAGCGAATCTGGCTGGATCGATTCAAGACTTGCCTCAAGTGTTGGAAGGATAGGATTTTTTTGCCTTTTTCGTTCAAGTTAAGCGACGATATTTATAATTTTTTTAAATTGGGATATGCTAAGGGCTACTTAAGATAGTAGCGGGTCTTCGGCATGATAAAACTATTTTGAGATATGTAAGTACATGCGTCCTTATTACCATAAATAAATAGTTGAAGTCATTCAAATTTGACAAACTCAGGGGTAAAGTTTGTAACCTAACCTAGCAAAAATGGGATACTTTGAGGTCTTTAGTCACGTGACGTATTTGCATATATACATTTGATTAATACCTAATTAACTAATTTTTGATGTCATTTACGTCAAAGTTTTCTTTGTTGCATTGTGTAACTATACTTATTTTTTTTGGTGACACGTTGCACATTGAAGCGATACGTTTATTAGTGAGGGTGACAAGAAAACCGTTATGTCTGTCCGTCCATCTGTCGGGATTGGTAGTGTTGGTTGGTCCGCGATAACTCGTAAGCTGATCTAAATACACAATTGCAATTAGAAACATCACCAATTTAGTTAGGGGACAGACCTGAGTAGAAAATGGACGATGCAGGGCACAAGGTCACGACATGATTTTCTTAAATTAGAAAGACATCGCAATTATTTTCAAAGAGCGAAGATCCAACTGGATAAATAATTTTGATCTAATCCCACTGACGAGGTCAAAGTACGTTTCATACGTTGAAAACATCGCTGCAGACATATAAATTTAGACAGATGTTTTAATTATAATTAATAATTTTGATGTAAGGTTTCACTCTTTTGTTACACGCGTTGCATGTAAGGGTTTATTATTACGATGCTATTTTGTCCCGGGCAAAGTCCAAGGTGTCAAAGACATGGTTTTTTTTTACATAAGCTCTCGTCCGCCTCCCTTGAAGGCCTTGTTTGGCGACATTATTATTACGAGCGCTTTGTTATTACGTGTTCCTGGAATCCCATTATTCCAATTAATTGTATTCCGAAATCTGGGTGGGTGTCACTCCCGCTAATCAAGCAAGAAGCCGGGCGAGAGGAGTGAAAAGGTGGTGGGCAGTGGCCGCGGAAGCTACGCGGGGACATCCATCCATACCTGTTCAGAAATTTAGTATTCATTCAAAAGTTAGTCACCTCGATTTCTGACTGAAGATTTTCATTCACATTCTGTCATTTTCGTTTAAATTCATTTCACTTCACTTCATCGGACTTCATTTCTTACTTCGCTCCATGTATTAAGTTAGTCATATGAATTAGTGAACAGGTATGGGGACATGTGGGGTCATTGCCATTGTACGATAAGGGAGGTAGGGGTTTGCATAAGATGGTCAGATGATGGGGACATCGTATAAGCGTGGGGACATTGCCCCTTTGTCCCTACGCTTCCGCGGCCACTGATGGTGGTTGTCCCTCTATTTATAGGTATTTTAGATGAATAGGAACATTATTATTGTGCTTCCCTCTCATCTCATCTCGCACCACTCATTGTTCTCTTCTCTTGTCCTTTTGTTTGTCCCCTGTGTTTTAAAACTTCCCTCGTCGCCTCTGGAGAATTAAGTAAGTATGTTGTTACATAGGTGATGATGACGAGGAACATAATCAGGGAACGGATGTCCATCTATTTGTTTTCATTTTATGACGCTAACAATTAACCTTAGTGGGTGTGTTACCAACCATTATGTGTTTTTCGAACATTTTTCGCATCATATATTTTGGAGGATTTCCTCTATAATTTGAAAAATATGTGAATCCTTTAGGTATTTTTTAAAAATACGGATATTTAATAAGTATTTCAACGATATAATAAGACGAAATTATTTTGCTCAAAGAAATTGGACCGCAAAAATTCCAAAATATTAAATTAAAAATACAAATTTTTCGATGATTTTAATTTTTTTCTCGTACATACATATTTCGTAATTATTTCGGTGTTTTTCGTAAATATTAGATGCATATTATGTATTTCAAGCGGTTTTTCGTAAATGCATATCCGCCCTCTGAACATGACGTATATATAAATACCATGTTACAAGTTGAGAAAGGGTGAAAGGGAATAAAGGGAAAAAAGTCCCAAATTTGTTATTTGATTTCGCATCATTTTTAGGAAATTAAATTATACTTTGCTTCATAACGTGGAAAGAATCCAATTTATTTTTTAGGGAAAGATGAGAACATCACGTTTCTATATTTGTAGGAACTAATTGGATGATTATTGTTGTTGGCTGACGTGATTTCTAGGCCGAGAAAACAAAAGATTTTGTAACAATTGAATTAGTGCCCATTGCAAAATTGGCGTGTTAAGTAAGATAAACTTTCTTTTAGGTGGTGGTAACAAAAGTGTATTTCGGGAGGAAACTTTTCCCCATTTTCAAGCCTAATTTAGTCCCATTCCATTGGAAATGGAGGTCTCCCAGCGTATGGTCACAGATTTTGGACAAAATAGTGGCAATTTATCACAAATTTAATTAGGATGAAATTTGCGAAAAACACGATCTCCCAATGGGCACGTTTTGCGGAGATGTTTGCATCCGAAGAGGAGAAAACGCACAATAAATTTAGAAAATGTAAAATTTGTCGACTTTAGGGCACGTTTTCTCCTCTCCTGATGCAAATATCTCTGCCAAAAATGCCCATTGGAAGATCAAGTCTTTCCCAAATTTAATACTAATCAATTTGTGATGGATTCACACTAATTTGCTCAAAACCGGAGAGCACACGCTGGGAGACCTCCATTATTCGAGTGTTACGAAATAGAATGTAAGTAAATAATACCACCGCATACGAAATTTGGTGGGTGTCCGTAGCCTAACGGGTTGATTAAATACTGTGGAAAGTGTGGGTGGGTGGGTGGCTTGGAAAAAGTAATTATGCCGAGCGGAAAAAGGTGTCAACATGACCAAGAGAAGGCGAAGAATGTTTGTCCATGTAACTCGAAAATATGCGTCAACTCGTTGAAAACATTGAACTTCTTGAATGAACTGAAAATAATTTCATTTTGACACCGGTAAAAATTAATGTTTTATTTTGAATTGTAGAATTAATTATGCAGATAAGAAGTAGGTCTGTGACTAATGTATTATTAAATAGGTAGCTTAATTGCAATTAATCTGTAGGATTGGATTGCGAACTTAACGAAGTAAAAGAAAATATGCGTCAATTCGTCACATTGAAACTCGAAAAGAGAAAATAATTTCAAGGGAAAGTTTCATTAAATTTGAGGAATTTTGACGCCGGTAAAAGTTGTTGCTTAATTCGGATTATGTAATTAAAATGATGTAGGTGAGATCTGTAGCTGATTTCTAGTTAGCTTAATAATAATTAGCTAATCTGCAACTCTGTTGTGAAATGAATGAATGAAAAAATTCACAGAAATTATAATATTAACTTTTTTTATTTTGGTTTGAGAAGATTTTTACATGAATTGAATTTAGAAAAATTTTGGGAAATTTTGATGCCAGTAAAAGTTAAAGTATTAGTTTGAATTGTTAATTTATAACAGTACAGGTATCAAAATGAGTCTAATGTTTAGTCATACCTGTGCACTTTCATTCATTTG